TTCAAATATTTTTGCTCCCTCCCCTAAAAAAACTTATATTATATGACTGTTTAAATTGGAAACGGTTTTTGTCCCAGACTTTCATATTTTAAAAATTTCGAAACAAATTTTAGGATTTACATTTGGTAACATCTGATGTCTTCTCCACTTATTTTTTTAAGAATTTTATTTATTAAATTCTTTTTGTTGCTTTTGAAATCAAATCAAGTGTGAGCTTATAAAATGAAAATCTCGATAGATATATAAGTTTTTCTTCAATAGTAAATAAAAAAGCCATTATTTAAAGCAAAAAAAGAGTTAAAAATTCTTTAAATAAAGGTCTTAAAAATGTAATAATTCCCTAACAAATGGGAATTTCAACAAAAATTGCATTAAATTCATAAGGGAAATTAAATCTTTCAGCTTGTCAAATTTCAACTCTGTACTTGTGTCTGATTCTGCAAATTCGAATTTAAAAGTTGATAATTCTGGAACTAATAACTGAATTCTTTTTCTTAATGCATCGTACTCTTTGAGTAATTTTTTGCACGAATTGAATAATATTTTTTAATGTCGAGGTAGTTTTGTTTCATAGCAAATAACTTAAGCATGTTTTAAGCTCGAATTTTGTAATCTGATTCGTTTTAAGCCTAAATGTTTGCTTAAATTTTGAAAGATTTTTTAATATTCATATAATTATTACCGATATCCATTTCACATAAAATATAATTTTTTACTACCTAATTTGAATGTAGCGTACGTTTTTTTTTTGGGGGGGGGAATGTATAATTAGAATGTATTCTGAACTATTTCATTTCTTTATCAAACAACTCTTGAAAATCTGGAAGACCAGATTGCTTTTTATTCTTTGGATTTATTCTTTACATTCACTTATTCCTAAAGTAAATGCCTCCTTTAGGTAACACGAAAACAAAGTTTTTATTTCGTTCTTTCTATTTTTGAACGAACTTAGTTTAAAACGTTATGTCTATTTTTTCAAAATGGCGTCGCTTGCGTTTGGTACAGAATAGCCGATTCCAGATAATGTGTCATTATGTTTAGCAGTAACACAATCCAAGCTTTGCTTCATTTTCCGGCTTGACCTTAACAAAGTAATGTCTAAAGTTTGTAACAGGCCTATAAAAACATAATTCATAGACCAGTTTTTGGTTTCATTATTTTTTTTTAACTTTATAAACTTTTATATAATATTGTTGGCTTAAACTAGTAAAGGTAACTTTTTCAATAATCTAATTTTATTTTTGACCTAAAACAGGAAATATCTGATTTTCTCTCTAGGTATCGTTAAAAAATGTAAATATAAATGCAAATTATATACAAATATAAAAAAACCCGAAGTTTGTTACAGTTTTTATTTGTTACTTTGGTTTTCTATCTGGCATTTAATTAAAAAACACAATAATAACCATACGTTTTAATCTGAAAAGGAATAAAAAGTAAAAGCGTATTCTTTCTCTAAAACTTACGTTTATTCTTTGTTCGATGAATATTAACTTCATCTGGTAACTACGCGACTGAGAGATAAACTATGGGAAACAATTCTTTGTCACAGGTGCTACTCGTGGACTTGTTTTAGTTTTCGGTAATAAAAAGGGACTAAGAAATAATGTTAACGACATTAATGATGTTGTTAACAGCATGAGATTTGAGAGAGGCTAATTTTTTCTTTCAACAGAATTCTACCCCTGCTTATTTTTTCTAATGAATATGTATAATGAATACATAAAAGTCACGCGGGATAATGGGTATGAAAGAAAGCTTTTAATTTTCTCTTTTCTAGTAATTGAATTTTCTTCTGCAGTTCGTGGTTGAATAATCGGTTTCTGATTGAACTTTTATGCACGCTTTTGATATTCTTAAAAATTGAAACAAAGATTAAAGAAGAATTTTTAAATTTTTAAGACGAATTTAGTTAATTAGTATATATTTAGTTAATATATATATATATATATATATATATATATATATATATTCTGGAGAAAAAAAA